TAATTGACTGTCTTTCATTTGCACGCTCTTTGCCCAGACCGTGTTTCATTCTTTTGTGCAGCAGCATCATTTTTTATTTTTGGTTCCAATGAGACAGAAACGTAGTTTGTAAATATTCAGAGACAGAGGGAACACTCAGCGCCTACTGGAAAATAACAGCTCAGCGGCCCAAATACCAAAGCTTTCTGCCCCCTCTAGTCACTCTGAGGGCTTGCTTCCTGTTGATAAAATGCTTTAAATCAGTTTCAAACCTCATCCGGGCTGGCATTCCTAGGCTGGAACCTAGCAACACAGCAAAGCTTGCTTTGCACTTCTCTTACAGATGCAAACCTCAATTTGTTCAGTCCATACTCATGTGAGTCAGTCCCACTCTAGTAAGCGCTACTCCCTTGAGTAAATGTTTTCAGGATCAGCCCCGTAATCTTTATAGAAAACCACTTTCTAGGCTTAGAGCCAAAAGTGGCCTCAGGGGAGAGTTCAAACCAACCAATATTTTTTCACGGAAAGGCAGATTTTTATTTTTATTTTTTTTAAAAGGAACTATAATCTCTCCATTAAACTCATCTCCCCCTTGGAAATGAGGGTTTTTTTCCCCATTCACTTGTGTGTGAAAGGTCTGTATACATTCTTCTATTCTGCTGAACAGCATTATTAGAAGTTGATTGTGCATAGAGCTATATGCAAGATGTTCTTTATCTTTAGCTTTGTGAGATGTTAGGAAAGGCATTTCAGGTCTTATCTGATTGTGTGGCCAAGCATACAAACAGGGTTACTCTTAAACGCAAACTACATGATGAAAAGTGAATACGTTGACTTTAAAAAATCTAGTTTGGTAATGATGTCTGCAGCATCAAACTGCCTGATGTAGCTAAGGCATAATTTTATTAGCCTCGATTAAAGACAAATATGACCTCATTGTTGTTTTGTAAGAAAAACATTTTGAGTCTGTCCGGTTCCTCCTGCAAGCTTGCCCAGCTATGTTATTCAGTAATGTTTCACCCATGAGAACTTCTCTGGGAATGGTGAGCAACAAGAAAGAAAATAAGGCCGGGTTGGGTCTGACATCTATTTCCATGGTTTTGTTCTTGCCCTTTGAGCTCTTTGTCAGTTACAGACCTCACCTACATGTTTTAGATGTGCACATACTGGCTACAGTACCTATTCACTGCCAAATACACTTCACAGTATAGGTTATGTTTAAAGGCCTGAATGATCTGGGATCTGGCTACTGAGAGACCAGCCTCTCCCATTCTGATCCATTGTAGGAGTATTTATCCATTACATCAGATATAATATAGAGTGAACTTTCCACTGCCATCAACAGAGCATTTCTAAGATGTAGAGCACAGACCTGAGACTCGGGAGACATGGATTATATTTCTGGTTTGGCCATTGGTCTGCTGATTGACCTTGGGCAAGTCACGTCACCTCCCTATGCCTCAGTTTGCCCATCTGTAAAATGGGGATAATGGTGCTTCTCTCCTTGGTAATGCACTTTGATCTCTACTGAGGAAAAACACTAGATAAAAGCAAGGTATTATTATTATTATTTCACTTGCTCTGTGTCATTTGGGAACCCAAAGAGCACCACATAAAGCTTGCATATTTCCTTGTAAATCAGTGGTTCTCAAACTGGGGCTACCGCTTGTGTAGGAAAAGCCCCTGGCGGGCCGGGCCAGTTTGTTTACCTGCTGGGTCCGCAGGTTCGGCCGATCGCGGCTCCCACTGGCCGCGGTTCGCCGCTCCAGGCCAATGGGGGCTGCGGGAAGTGGCGCCCAGCAAATCCCTTGTCCCGCGCCGCTTCCCACAGCCCCCATTGGCCTGGAGCGGTGAACCGCGGCCAGTTTAAGAACCACTGTCGTAAATATAGCTGGCTAATCATACCAGCAGGTAAGAAAATTGTGAGGTTTCAACCTTTGTTTCCATCCTGAATAGGGATGAAAAGTTGAAATACTGAAACTTTTCACAAAACAAAAAGTTCCAAAAATTTTCAATTCAGAAATGTCAATCCAAAACATTTTGACATTTTCAGATGAAAGTATTTATTATCACATTGATGTGTCAACATTTTGTGGTTTATTTTCATTTTTGGAGACTGAAAAATTTTGGTTTTCCAATTTGATTTGGGGATTTTCATGGATTTGTTCCCTTTTCTCTCCCTTTTTCTTACCTCTTTTCCGCTGGAAAGCAGAGGGGAAGGTAGAAAGTATGATGCGGTGGGAAAAACCTAATTGTCAGCCATTTTTACTGTTTCCCCCTTTTTCTAGTTGGAAAGCAGGTTTTTCCTCATATTCCAACACTTTCTTACTGTTTTCTGTCTTTCACTAGTTAGAAAGCAGGGAAAAAATGTGAAAAATGAATTTTTGTCACATTACCATTCTTTCTGAAAAAGACAGAAAAAGGTAAAAAGAGGAAAAATAAGAGGAAACGTCCCCCTCCCCCAAACAAAATCCCAAAACTGAAAAGGAAAACTGGAATTTTTTGGTTTACAAAACTTGAAATGAAGCACAAAATGTCTAATTTCATTTTAAATTCAGTAATGCCCCAAAAAAATCATTAACTAAATGGTCAAAATCACCATATTCCTAAAATTTTGATATTGGTTAATCCATTTTTCTTTTCTGGTGGGCAAAAATGTTCATTTGATAGTCTTTTTTTTTTTTTTGACCGGTTCTACTATTAATTTATTGGAGTGAAGTTTCCCCGGGTTTGGTTTAGTTTGGTTTGGTTTTTGTTTGGGTTTTTAAAAATACTTTTGTGCATTTAATGAGCAACTAAGTTAAGGGTCTGTCGCTACCCAAGTGGATAGTTTCATAATGAACCACAAAGCACCCAGATGTTTTGTCAGTGGACATGAGACACATTTGTAAATATAACAAAACTATTAAAATGGCAGGACGGATACCTGATCAGACTTTCATCCTGCATTTTTGGAACCTCCATTCTTAGGCCTCAATTCAGCAAAGTACTTTAGCGTGTTCTTTACTATAAGCATGGGCTTAAGTAACCTTGACTTCAATAGGAATAAGCAACTTTCCTGACTAGGGATGCTTTCCCAAATAAGGGCCAAAGTGAGCATAGTTTGGTGCTCATACCTGGGTCAGTGACAAGTAAGAAACAATTTGTTAATATTGTGATAAGTTCGTGATCACTTAGGAATTTGATGGTTTCTGCTATACTGGAAACTGTGGCTCCTCAAGCCTTAACAGCTATGTCAGGGATAGATGATTAGACCCTTCAGTTCCAAAAAGCATCAGTCTCTATCTCTAGAGTCAAAGGAGAATCTGCACTAGCTATTAAAAGAGGAACTATAATGCAAATCTGGACAGTTCGGATTCCATCCAACGGAGGGCAATGGTGCGCATACATGTTGGTTTATTACAAGCATCATTAAATTAGCCATGTTGCTAGCATACTTGAAACTTGCAAGTTACAACTTCATTTGAAATGTTTTTTCTTTCCTGTCCAAGCAGGGCCCTTTTCATCTGCATAGTTCACTTGAGATGTAATCGTTAACATTTAAATTAGAAGAGGAATCTCTTTAAGGATGGGAGGGCATGTTGTGAGAAGACTTTTCCACTCCCACTTGTGGTGAGAGGAGGAGGGGCATTGCAGTGCTTAGAGAGATAATTACGTTCCCAGCCATGGGGTGAGGTATTGGGTGTACAAACAGCTAAGTACATGGGTGGAAAGAGAAAGTGGGTTAGAAAGAGGGAAGAATTAAGGGGTAGATATGGCTGCCACTGAAGTCAGGGGCAACATTTCCACCGACTATAGTGGAATGGAATCAGACACAGAATTTTTATGGCCCTCACCAGTCCAAGTCCATTGTTTACTGCATCTTTCTTGTGAGGGTTCCTCGTGTACTCACCTACGTTGAACTGGTTTGATTGGGGTCAGGGAGAGCACTTCCATACGCAGCTGGAGTCCTTGGAAAAAAGGAGAATAGAAAGTTAAGAGGGTAAAATAAGGATTATCGCTCACAGAAAACTCCTAGGCTTGCAAAGATGTTTCTGTATGGGACTCACACATCATCTGATATATTAAGGTGAAGTATTGGGTATCCATAAAGGAGTACTAGCAAATTGTGTCAGTTTTCAAACACTTTGCTTTGTCAGCTTCACAAATTTAAAATCAATCAGTTGCAGTATAGATCAGTTGAACAGACATAAAATCTTATGGTTATCTCTCTGACAACAATCTGAAAATTAAAAATGAGTTTTTAAAGACTCTGATTGGCAAATTTCCATAATACTAAAAACAGGGTTCCTTTACACCCATTGGTGTTAAAATAAATGCTGAAAAAGATGACAGCAGAGGGTCTTTTCATAAATGGGAAGGGGAGTGGGGGAGTGCTGAAAAGTAAGTGCTCTAGGAATGTTCATTTCCAACAGGAGCTCCATGTCCTTAATGCACTATCACAAGCATGGGTGGAAAAACCAGCTACAAATAAAGACTCCGTGGAACCTCTGGAGAGTTGTCATAAATATGTAGCTTTTGTATCCTACGGTGTAAAACACTAAAAAGTGTTCATTTAAAATGAAGCGTTATGTCCAATATTAGTTGCCTAATATCTCTCATTTGGACATCAATTATGAATGTACTGACAAAAAATGAAGAGACCATTTTTTTCCATTTGTAAATTATTTAAGTATGAGCGTTAGTTTTTGCAACCCTCACACTAATAAGCTCAGGCTTGTGGCACTAAGCTGTTTCTCATTGGATTGTTGTTATTATTATTATTTATTATTAACAGCATCATAAATGTGTCCCGTGAAGCATAAACCCAAAGTATTTACAAATGGTGGCTGGATCTTTCAGTCCTTACTGAGCAAAATTCCCATTTGAGACTTTGTGGAGTCAAAATGAAGTGAATGGGAATTGTGGCAGAGTACGGACAATAAGACCAGGGTCATCACCATCAATTTTCCTAGGTTAGACTTTTAAAATAAAAATTGGTCAAATAGCATATTCAACTGAATGTCTGTCTTTCCCCACAGTGGCCTTCCTTTGCAGACAGCACACGGTGCAGTTTTAGCACATTCCAGCGGAGGCTCTGGGAGCTCAAGTGAGTCCGAGAGCAGCTCCGAGTCCGATTCCGACAGCGAAAGCAGCTCCAGTGACAGTGAGTGTAACGAAGAGTCACGCAGCGCAACTCCGGAGGTAAAGCTATGAATTCAAGCCCCTTCTCCCAGCACACTCTCAGGAAAAAGCCTTATCTCTGAAAGCGAAATTCTTTTATCCTTCAGAAAACATAGAAGTCCTATTCTGTTTACTGTTATTTGCTTTCTTCTCCCTTTGTGCTATCAAACACATGATCCACAAACTCATTTTAGCTTTGGGGAAAACCTTCTGGCCCACATTTCAGTTACTTCAGAGAAATATTTAGATTTTTGCCCAGTACCAGAGAAGATTTTATTGGCACAGTATATGTCTGGGACTAAGGAAAGGCACCATGACAAAAAATACATCTTCAGGGACCTGCTTAACTTTTTCGTTGTATTAAATTTCTCCAGGGCCACATTGAAAACTAGATAAGGAAGCCTAATTAACCATAAATACTGTAGTAAAACTAGCAATAACCGCTGGTTGACTGAAATAAAAGGCGCTGTGTTAAAAATGTAATTGTGGTTTAAACTAAAAAGCATTGCTTCTCTAAGATTTGTTTCCTATCGTTCTTCGATCTGCAGCCTGAACCTCCTTCAACAAACAAGTGGCAGCTGGATAAATGGCTAAATAAAGTGAATCCCCATAACAAGACCATTATCAACAACCAAAATGAGACTCATAGTGAGAACAGTTCTCAGTCTCAGAGCAGCCAACAGACTGAAGGACAAAACAAAGGGAAGCTTAATAACAGTCTGCCCCAGACCGATTCCAAAGACAGGGCCGTCCTTAGTCCCATCCGGGAGAAAGCCAAACCACGAGTTGCCCAGAAAACTCCAGAGGCAAAAAGCTCCAAGCAGAAGTCACCAGCTCATAATGAGCCAACTTCACAAAGGACTCCTGGGAAAAAGCAACCCAAAAAGGTAGAAAGGACTTCCAGTGTAGAAGAGTATAACTGGCCCAAACCAAATAATACCAGCAACACTCCCAAAGAAAAAGATACACAGGAACCACCAGAGCAGCCAAAGGTTCGCACAAAAGCAGCAGCTGGAAAGACAGCTCCAAGAAAAGAACCACGGACTAGCACGGGACTTGCTTCTGAGAAGAAAAAGTACAGAGGCCCTAGCAAAACTGTCCCTAAATCCCGTGAATTTATTGAAACCGATTCGTCTACTTCTGATTCAAACACAGACCAGGAAGAGAGCCTGCAGGCTAAAATATTACCAGCTTTCAGTGGGCCTGCCAATGGCCTCAAAGTAAAAGACTCCAGTAGTAACATCCTCAGTGTAAGTAGTTTAACTAGCAACAGCAGCAACACATCAATAGACCAGACCAGCAATGATTTAGAGGAACAACTCTTTTCACCGATCCCAATTGTGCAAAATGAACTTCTGTCCCCACTGAGGGAATTTGAAGAACTCAAATCCCTTTGGGTGAAAATAGATCTTAGTTTACTCTCTAGAATACCCGGACAAGACCCTTGTGAGACAGTGACTGTGAAAACTGAACCACGAGAGGCAAATGTGAAACACAGGCGACAATCTCGAGAGTCCCCCACCGCAGCCGCTGAAAAGCCCGCCACAAAATCCAAAAGGAAGCACAAGGTAAGTAATTTTTATAGTCCAAGGGAAACCACTCCATTTCCATGTGTCAGCTGGGTAGGTACCAGATAGAACCGTTACCTCGGTCATCTGCATTTCTTCATACCTGCCCCAAAACCTCTCCGCAAAGATTTAATTGAAGAAACAGTTCTATAGAGAGGTATCCGATTACTAAGGCATGATTGTTTTTTTACAAAAGATGCTATACTACATTTACCAGTGCATTGTGAATTTTCATCATAAACTATTTAAAACCAAACTCTAACTGTCAAAATCAATGAACAGTGTATATGTGGTGATGTGTCTTTTGTGCGTTTCCATTGCGGTTGCTCACTTTCCCATTCATTTGCAGTATTCAGTAATCTGCAGTGGGATCCCAAGAACTAGTGCAAATTACTGAGGATTGAGTGTACCCAGAAAATGTGACTTCTGTTTGGAAGGCAGGTTTTTATTGTCTGGAGAGTTACAAGCCGATTCACCACTGACTTAGGCACTGCTTCATTCAAGTCAATGGAGTTGTGCCTGCTTATGCCACTGGTGAATTCTGACTTTAAAAATATAATTTTGTTATATAAACAAATGTGATTTATAGAAATACGATTTGCTTAACTAGCTGCTCCCCCTTTGCAACTACCTGAAACGCAAAATATATTTTTACTTAAGGGACTATGTTTTATCGTGTGTTTTATGTTATTTATGCCCCAGGGTATCCTGTCTTGTGGGATATGACAGTATGCTTCAAACTAAAATGTGCTTTCAGAAACGAAAGGGAGGTTTTATATCATAAATGAATTTTTGTAGGGGGATTTTCCAGCTGAAATGGTTATGCTCTGGTCTCTCAGAGAGAAGACATCATTTAAGATTTTTATACCCCAAATTTTATAAATCATTGGGAATGTGACTTCAGCTGTCAGTTCTATTGGCCTCCTGAACTGCATTAAAATGCTGATTTAGAGTAGTCTGATGATAGAAGGAGGGAGTTAATGCATGACAAAGGCGTGCAGCTCTTACTCATGTGAATACTCACATTGACGTAAGTGGGAATATTCACGAGTAAGGTCTGCAGGAGCTGAATCTCTGCTTTTACTCTGGCCTATGAATTAAAATTATGCAGAAAGAAAGGCATTTTGTGAATGTGTATTTTGTGTGCATGCACATGTGTGCTGGGGTTTATGTGAATAATACGCTAATAACTTGTAGAATTGCTAACTCAGTGGGGTGATAGTCAGTAAGAATCCTGGTTAGAAGAAGACTACAATACTGGTAGCTAAACCTAGGGCTCAAGGAATATGATGGGTTATCTAAAAGAGTTGGGGGAATCTCCTCACTGCATTAGCTGGGACTTTGGATCAGGAACTGCCATGATGAAAAGGTACACTCTCTGGGATGCTTGGGTGTTCCGCTAGAATAAAAATACTCAGCTGAGTATTAAAATAGCCCTTTCTCTTCCATTTTGGTTGTTGTATGCTCATCACTATCGCTGCTCACGGTGACGCAGGAGGAAGCAAGTCAATTAGGGTTTGTGCTGCACGTGTTTAAAACATGGCATGAAGAGACTGATTTGGGTTTCGAAATCATTTTATTAAAAGATTTATTTAAGGCACAAGCGCATGGGCTTGAGAGACGGTATGAAGGTTCCAGTGATAGAGCAGTAATCAGCTTTACTTATATCTTCTTAGTTCAGGCACTGAGGTCATGCAACAGGGAATCTGTCAAGGTAAATTTTGAACCATCTACCCCTTGCTAATCACTACCACTTTAGGGCTCAGGTCTGCAGCCTCTCAGTCATCTAAGTAATCCTTACTCATGAAAGCTATCTCATTGACTTCAAGTATATTAATGAGTAAAAGATATTCATGTGAATAAGATTTTGCAGGATTAGGTCCTGAGATCTTGATTATTTATTCATTATGATGCAATACAGAAGCAAACTATAGTAAAGTGAGGCATTTGCTTTACAATTATCCAGCTGGGTTAGTTGTTATATAACTTAGTCATGTGTTTGCAATACAGATCAGCACACTTAGGCCTTTTTTTTTTTTTAATTATTTTCACTTCTCTTAGATATCAGTATTTTAGCTGCTGCTACTACAAAGGAAATATGCTGAGATTCTTGACTTTCTCTTAATGGTAAGGAGAATTTGTGCTTAGATGCTGCATTTTTCAAGCTGTTTTTGTTTTGTTCAAGCAGTCCGAAAGCTTGGATACGTTTGGTGAAACCAAGAAACAGCGTCTGGAGGACACCTCAGCCTCATGCCTACTTCCACCATGTATTTCTCCGATACCTAATCACAGATTAACCAGCACTAAAGAGTAAGTATTTCTTAATACTGAGCTGTGATTTAATAACTGTGCTCTGCAAAAGTGTTTGTTGTGGAACTCTGTGATAAAGCCTGGGTGTTGCCCTGTGGCTTGGGATCATTGCTCCCATCTGTCATGTAGAGGGATCCATGTTTTCTGAATGGACTTGAGCTATCCTTTTGCTGCGCTTGCGGAAACCACAGTATCACCGAGGCACTGAAGTGTGGATATACACATGTCTCCTGTGCTCTCAGCCAGGTCCATGCCGCCCTGATTATCCCTACCCTGAACACCGGGAGTTTTCTACTGAAAAAGAAATCTGTTTTCTGAGGGCCAAATCTTGGTTTTACTGAAACCGACAGTCGTTTTGCCATTAACCTCAGTGGGATCAGGATTTGCCCCTTTATAAATAGACGTATATAAAATAAAATGATGTTTTTGTTACAGTATTGTCTGTTTCTAGTTATGGAACAAAGTCCTTATTCAAAATATGATTCCGCCTGAACTATGGAACAGTCCTGCCAAATGCCTAGTGGAGTCCTGGCATGTTAACCTCATGCAATACAAAGCTAGTAGAAAGTACTTAACTTTAAGTAGCACTTTATTTTTGCAGGGTACATATAACCGTATAATTGGTATCTCTCTGAAGTATTGCATTTTGTTTGAAATGGCTATAATGCATCAGCAATTAGGCACCGCATGAATGACATTTAATATTATTATAATCACAGGATTAACATTCTGTAAATAGAGAGAAAGCCTATCAGTTTTGCACTTTATTGGCTTCAGAGGTGTAACTTCTGATTTCCACTGGTGCAAGCAAAGATTCAGGCCCAGAAAGTACATGATCTTGGGGAAAAGGTATCATAGTGGCAATATTTAAATGTATGAAGAAGTTCTGAAATTATTTTTTTAATTTGCATCTTTTAAAGCCATTATGAAGTCTACAGAGCAGATTATAATCTTATTTATGCTGCTTTAGTTACAGAGTAACTCCACTTTGTCCAGATTTACACCACTGAAAATTAGATCAGAGTCTGGTCCTCTATGTTGTTGAGTTTGGAAAAGGCAGATGATTTGCAGGTGATGGTGTGGTCCATAACATGTTGCACATTTAGGAAGCATCATGATGGGTGTTCCCAATTGTCATTCCTGAAAATACAATGAGCTGAGATATATTGCGGAGGGAATCAAAAATTATCCATCCCCACCGCTTCCATTATCCATTAAAAAAAAATTCTTTTCCTGTCTCAAATAAGCCCTAGGGATCCACCCCCAACCTGATGTTTCTTAATTTGAGCTTGTTTTCCAGGTCATTAATTTGATTCCTTAGAGCTTTCAAGCCTTTGGTATTCTCGGTTAAAATATAATTGTGTCCATCAATAGTTATTTCCATATGTTAGCTTTTTCTCTCGCCCGCTGTGAATTGTGAACCAAAAATTTTTGACTCCTTAGCCACTGACGTGATTGAGGCCTGGATCACGTTGAGTTCATTATTAATATCTTCCGAGTTTGTTTTAAACAAATCCTATGTTGTTTGATAATTCAGGTCTGCAACTCCCAGTGATGTGCAGCTGAATGTAGATCAACCCTGATCCCAAGACTAGGGGATTGAATGTGTAATGACAAATTTCTGCATAGCCCCAGATTATTTTTAAGCATTCAGGAGCAGTTCTATTTTCCATCAGGGATAAAGTATAAAAAATGAGTCCAAACTAGTCACTGATTCAAAGGTAGGGGGAAAATAACGCGGCAGTGGCAAAATAGTAAAAGAGAGGCTTGTCACTTAAGCCCCAAATTTTATTCCCAAAGGTTCTACATATTAATACAGTAGAGCCTTGATAATCTGTATTTAATTATTGTGAGAACAATTGTGATATAGCAAGAAAAGCCCCATCCTACTATCATGTCCTAGTGAATTAATCTTTGCATGTATGCAGATCCCCATTGGGCACAGGGATCCACCCACACAGATCCGACTGAGGTATCAGAATCCAGAGGGTTATATTTTTAAAAGTATTTAGATGCCTAGCAATGCAATAGGTGCCTACTAGGATTTTCAAAAGTGCCTAATTACCTTTAAACCTGGCCGTCAGTGAACAGAAACAACAGAACAAGCAACGATACCATATCACAAAGACAGGTTTTCAGAAAGCCACATGCATCAATGTTTTGGCAATTAAATGCCTAATTTGCACATGCTGTTTCCATAACTGCACAAGTAAACTGGGTGTTTGCATTCTCAGATGGTCAGTTATGCACCTAATAACCACTTGCACACACAAATACCCCATTTTCATTATGCAGCCATAGTAATTGCATAAACAATTAGGTATCCATGAGCTTGTATATTCTCATACATAATCCTGAGTGTTTGCCTTTTCCCAGATCTGAAGCAAGATATACTATATATAATTATTTTAATAATTACAGTTCAATTTTAATTATTTCTAATATGTCATTAGCGAATGTATTTTTAGTAACATGAAATCTCCTTATTACACTAGGGAGTCTTTGGGAGTCTTTCCGTTCACTTGTGGGTTTAGGGTCATTCCCTAGGATACTAAATCTTTCTGAAAAGTGGGAGGAGACAACCTTTTTTTTTTACTGTGAATTGTAAAGTTTGTAGGTTAGGGAGGATCGGATGCATTAATTATATATACTTGATGAAAATTTTATTAACTCCATCTTGATTTTTCATTTTAGGGCAGACAAATAACATTTTTTGTACAATCTTTCCTTATTAAGTCCACAGGGTAACAGAAGCAGAGAGGAGAGAGTATTTAGTGGTTCAGAAATTAAGTATTGTATTCCTAGAGTATAGGATCTCAAGCTGACCTAAATATCTGTTTTCTAGAGATTGCTTTGGACACTAAGCATACAGAGCTTTTTTTTTAATTTAATAGATCAGCCAACCATTTTGTACTAGCAGTTTTATTTTTGTTATTATTTTATTATCTTTGTTAATACAGTTATTTACTTGCAAGAGCAATTTTGCAGGTATAATTAATTGCACATGCAGGTGATGGCAATTAATGTCTAACTGCCTAATTTGTGGGCACAGTCCAATTATTAGACAGCTACTTGCCAGCATTTGTACATGTGTAATGACACCAGCAGTTATTTGCAGATACGGAAGTCTGGTTTTCAAATTAAGCCCATACAGCCCAAACATGCACAACATCTAGCAGACAAGAGTCTGTCTTAAGCAATCATTTTAGAGTATTTCCAAGTTTTCAGTATAGGTTTGTTTGACCTTTAGTTAAAGATGCACCTGTACTAGGCAACATATATTTGCTGGTCCCTTGGGTAGTCACGACAGCTTTCATTATAGTGTTGTTCACAATAAAACTGCCCTAGTACATCTGTGACAAAGACTTCAGCTTCATTCAGTTGCTGCCACATGGTCCAACCTAATGTGAGAGTGACCTTTCCCTGCTAACCCCCTGCAGAAGATTAGATACACCATCAGTGTGAAGCATTTCTTTGGGGACAGGGAGAGTGGAAGGAAGGTAAAGCCAAGTGATTGCATAGACAATGGCTTTGTCTCACTAATGGGCCAGAGATACTATAGCAGACTACAATGAGTGGATAAAGTAAGGGTAAAAAATGGCCTCTTGAAATTCGAGAGTAGATGAAAATTCTTCATCCTTCATACACTGACTCCCTTGTGGCTTGCTTCATACCCTACAATAAACAAGACTGAAAAAACCAGACAGGGAGACTTCTCATTCCTTGATAATTGGCCTTCTCTGACACAAAGATTAAACCCTGCAGCCACAAGACCATCAGTTCTGCTTGTATTTTTTCATGCATTTTTACATTTCTCACTTGATTATCAATATAATTTAACTGACAATCATGTCAGCAAATTAAATCATTGAGTCCAGGTGATTATTGCAATAAATTCATTCAAAATTAGTGATTACTGCAATGAAAGACCAGTTTGTTAGCTCATTAACAGCCCAAAGCAAAGTGACAGTCCAGTTAACTACTGGTAACAATTGATTTCACGGAGGTTATTGTTAACATCGTGAATCTGAAGTGGATAACATTGCTATCAAAAGTTAATTTTCCTGAAACTCTGTTTGTATTTAAAGGGCAACTAAGGAAATGCATAACTGCATCTGGGGCTGAAACAGCCAAAGGACTTTTGTTGTTTTAATTTTTATATATAGATATAGATAAAATATTCCTGTGTGTGTGTATAAATATAAAAAATAAACACACACAGAGGAATATTTTTGGGGTGGCTAGGTTGAGGCCCCGCCTCCCACAGAATGACTTGTATGCCAAATCTGAGTCGCTGCACCTGTAACTCAGGTGCCCCTAACAATTGAGGTGTAGGTGCAAAATTTTAGGCAATGCCCCCAAAACGGAGGCCAGCTCTCTGAAATATATACGAACGCTAGCCAAGAGAATAGGCAGCTATCCTGGCAGCTGTTGCCTTTTCCAGCTACCCAACCACCAACGCTGAGCCTATTCTAGATGTCATTAACTTCCCCCTTAGTAGCAGCAACTGGGTCATCCTGGTTAGGTTGTCGTGTGGCTACCTAAGATTGCCCCCTTCCAAAGGTCATAGGGATAGACTCCACACAGCCTGAATTCCAACAGATGGATTATGAAACTATGAAGGCAGGCTCTGAATAACCTTGACATCCTAAAGCAGGGGCTGGATTAGGTTCTCAAGTGGGGGATTAACTGACCTTCAGTCTTTCTGCAAAAACTTTTGAAGTGGGTCCATCAGACCCAACTCCCTTTTCCCCAACAAAATGTTTAGGCGGGAGAAGATGAGCCCCTCGGACTTTCCAATGTGGGGATAGGATCACAAACCCCACCCTCGCTTTTCTTTCATAAGTGGACTCCATTTCCTACCTACCTCCCAGTGCCCTATTGGCGCGGGCACACACATGGATGGATGGATCTTGGGCTAGGCCAGAGCCGCCAGTCTATCTCTTCACTCACAGTACGGTCCAATGGATAGGAGGCTGGTCTAAGAATCAGGAGGTGTGAGTGTCCTGCTCCTAGCTCTGCCACTAACTTGGTCTCACTGTGTGGCCTTCCTGTGTCTGGTTTCCCAACTGTACAATGAGATAACAAATGTGTAGCTGAGTGTTGTTATAACCTAGAACTGTGGTCATTCACCTGAGCGCCACAGTGCACTTTGGAGATCGGAGGGATGCCAGGAAGGCTTTGAATGAGACCTTTCTGAAAAGTTTTCTGGCAAATCTTCCCCAACCTTCTCTAGCAGTTCCCCAACTGCCTGGTACACAGCTGTTTTCATTTGGTCTTAGTCAGCTGACCAACCTGTTTTCTGAGTAAAACCCTCTGCTGTGCAGTCCGTATCCATAACCTTCCTATTGTAAGACCATAGACAGGCTGTGCTGGTGCAGGTCCCTTGTTCTGAAGAGCTTTCATATAATGAAGAGCTTTCAACAGGATAATTTTAGCCATATATTAATTGTACGGAAAATGCTTCTGAGTGGCAATGACAATACAGTGTCTCGGGGGTTTGTTTGATGATAGTCTACTAAGGTTTCAGGAATATTAATACACTTTCGTATTATTAAAATTGACACAAAAGCCACAGTTAGAAAATGATTGAAATAGACACAATTATCATTAAAATTGGTAACATTGTGGAACACAGCCAGGCTGGAATAAGGAGGATGGTATTGAATATCAGATTGAGGAATTAGGCAGCTTGCATTGCTTGTTCCGCTCTGATTTGCTGCTTTGGGTATTGTAAATCTATAATTCCTGACACTTACTGAAGTTGACTAAGGGGGACACATACATTTTTGTTAACTTAATTTGCTATTGAAAATTTTACTCAATAATCATGAAAAGTAAATGACTCTGTAGTACAATATTAGTTGTCCGAGAAAAGAGTAAAATTCAAGTAATCTTCATAGACTGGACTAGGACAGTAACTAAAATAAAAATCCATGACCAAATTAACATGTTAAACGGTCGGGGGCGGGTAACATAGCTGCAGTTTTTACACTAGTGACCATTCTTCTATACAAAACAGGCAGTCAACCATAGCATTGTGTCAGCTTTCACTTTAAAAACATATTTATTTTCTAAACCAGGTTCATTCATTAGCCGGTATTCGCTCAAGAGCTTTTGCCAGCTGCTCTGAATCATTTTCTGTAGTGGGGCACATCAGTTTTACTCGTGAGGTGAAATAATTTCATGTTATTGTTATGGTTATTGGTTGGTAGCTGTTACAAACCATTTTCTTCATTCACATGCTGTACTGTATGATGGATATTTGCTAAGAGCAGGCATATGGGCCCCAATCCAGCAATGCATTTAAAATGTTTATCTTTACGCATGAGAATAGTCCCTTTAACCCCAAATAGGGCTACTCCTATGTATAAAGTTAAGCATCTGCTTAAGTGCTTTGGGGGATCAGGGCCCCTATGCCTTCCGTGATGACAACTGACTCAGTATAGTGTTTCAAGTGTCCACAACTGTATTAATACAGTCAAACAAAATAGTCCCCCCCAAAACAAAAGGCCTTTGCCGTCATTGAAGAGGCAAAGAAGGCAAGAGTAGCTTTTATACCTTCACTGGCCTCCTCCTACTCATAGTCATATGAAGACAGAATCTGGCCTCCAGTTAAATAATATCAAGTGCTTGGTGATGTAGAGAATTTAAAAATACCCAAAGGCTTGTCCCACAACCACTTCTTGTCTGTGTCCCTGCAGCGGGAGTTCAGTTAAAAAGGTGACTAAGAAAAGAGAAGAGAAGTTGTTCCCTCCTCCGTTATCCCCGCTGCTGGATGAGCCAGCACACAGGCGGCACAGCAGTGACAACAGCTCCTTCAGCCAAGAGAACAGCGTCACAAACTCCTTGCAGACCGGCAGCTCTTCCTCTTCTTCTAAATTCGGAAAGAATGAGAACAAATCCTCTTCGAACCCCAAAGGAATCTGTGTAAGTAACTGGTCGGAGCTGCTGAAAGTGAACAAGATAAAACAAAAGTAACTAAGCTTTGTTCTGTTTGATTCTCTCTTTTTTTTAATATCTGTGTTGAAATCCTTCTGTAACCCCACTGAAGAGCGGCTAGGCATGGAGCGCTTGAGAGCAGTACACAAGCTCTCTTGCAAGTTCCATTTTTAGATCGGCATTAAGCATCCATTTGACATTGTGTGTAACTGACTAGAACACCTGGTCCTTCCACTTTATAGGCTAGATTTACAGCAGTGGACTATCTGCAATTACTCCTCCTGCCTGTGTAGTTTTAACCACACACATAAAGAAAAAAAAATCTTTGATGAATTTTCTATAGTGTTAGCATATTTCTTATGACTAATATCCCCAAATTCTCAGCTGGTAATTAAGCACTGTAGCTAAACTAAGCATTGCAGATTGAACTGACCGCCCAATAAAAATCCGCTGAAAAATTGCCTGTGTGTACCACACTCAGGGACCAAATATCTGAGCACCTGCATTTCTACCTCAAGCTACCTCCTGAATTGCTTTTTTTTCCTCATCTGCTTTCCTCCTTCCCTTTGTTTGCTTTGATTTGGTTTCTGCCAACTCAAGACCTTTCTGACTGGGATGCCTACATAATACACAAAACTCTCTGTTGTGGAGTAGTTAGGGTTGTTACCTCCATTAAATGCCTGACACAAACCCACAATAGCAAAGCAATAACAAGTTAAGTTCCTAACTTTACAGACCATCTCATCCTCCACCCCCAGGCACGCACTTTCCCATTAAACTACAGACCACATGACACAATCTGAACTCTGCCCTGCTGTCATCTGTATGGGTATATCCTTCTACCAGGTTACTCTATCCCCCAACACTAGCAGTTGTTGAGGTTTGGCACAGGGGTTGACTGTGGCAGGAGAAGATAGGTCAGTAAAGGAGCGTGTGCAGAAGGAGTGGCATCCCTATGGAGAGTAGAGTGGCGGTTGCTGTTCACGTTCCATGGTATAAGGTAGCTGAAATGACAAGGGGTGGATGGTTGTGAGTGAAGGAGAAGATGTTCTGTGCTGCTAGGTGGCCTCACTTCCCATCTCCTTGCTTTTGTGTCAGGCATGTTCTATGTGTAGCAGTGCTTCGCACTTCACAGCAAAGTCTTTTGTGTGGGAGTTCCCTTGGTTTCTTGTCATGCTTAATAAGGGGCGGGCATTGAATGAGGGGTGAGGGGAGGGGAAGAGGGGACATTAGAAGTGCAACAGGAGAATATTTTTTATCCATCAGCAGCTGCGCATGAGGCCTGCTCTGCTGTAGGATAAAATCTGACAGAAAAGCATAGCTCCTCCTGGGGAAGGTTTTATGTACGCCCAATCAGGTTTGAACTTACCATCAATCAGGTTTGCCTGCATTGGGCCCCATCAATCAGGCTTGTGTGCACCAATCTTTCTCCCTCCCTCCCTCCCCTTTTCAATCAAATAGTCAGGCTTGCATGTACTCACTCCCTAAGCATCAACCAACCAGGCTTGCTCATGCCCAGCCCCTCTCGTCCTCTTCCTCTGAACCAGTCACACTTATGTGCACCTGGTCCCCATCAACCAGTGAGGCTTGTATGTGTCCATCACCCCCACATCCCATCAATCAGACTTCTGTGCACCCAGACTCTCCCATCTATCCGGCTTGCGTGCACCTGGCCTCCATCAATCAGGTTAGTTTGCATGCACAGTCCATAAACTTGAGCTATTATGAGAATAACAGCTAAAAATGACCATAAATTCCACATTCTTTTAAAAATCTTCCCATTTGAGCAGTTCTCCTCAGGGGCCTCCTCTCTGCCAAGTTTTGTCTAGATAGGCAATGGGGTTTTTAATAGATATCGGTCAACAATGAAAAGTAGGGCTGCAAAGGAAACTTTTTAGCCAGTTTCAAAGGCTTCTTCTTTAACATCTATGAAAAGAAACAAAAAAAAACCTGCTTAGAAAATTCAAGGGGCATGAAAATTAACCCTGTATGAAATTTCACAGCAATTGGATACCTACTTTTAGAGAAAAATGGTAATTTATGCTTAATTTTAAGACCCTTTTAGAAAGGATTATGGAGTCTCCGTAATGAACGATTTTCTTGTTTGCTTCCATTGCCTTTTGACTGTTGCAGAAATGGGTGTGTTTGGCCCCATTTTTCACAATTTCCCATGTCACGAAAGGTTGCCAACCTTGTATTGTAAAATGAAAACACTCAAGTTGCATTAGAATGTAAGTGACAATTCACTTTACCTTATTCGCTTGTCCCTATTGCTTTCTGATATCATCATGTCACTTTGTTTCAAACTGCCAGAGCAGTACACATGCCTTCCACCAAAATCAATGCCAAAATGAACTGCATATGTCAGCAAATAAACAGTGCTATGTAAACCACCGGGCTGTTTCCTCCCTCAATCCCAGCATCATCCGTCAGATACATGCTCGATTTATCCACTGAGTTGGTATCTGAAATATTCCCCCACTAAAATGTATTATAGGGCTTTTCCATAGTTCATTGGTTAATCTGTAATTTAGTTCATCTGATTATAAACAGAGTTCACAAATGAATTCCAGTTGCCGACTCTAACTGCTTATGTTATATCTCTAGCTTATAATCAGCTAATGCTCCAGAATCTCTTTCCCCTCCCAACACTTTTAATAAGGGTCTCTAGCGAATAGTGTTCTGTGGTATAAGTGCTGACTTTACACCTTTCTGAAAGCATGTGTTAATGAGGTCAGGCATGTGAGCAATATGTAATCACGGTGCTTAATTAATCTAGTGGGTTTGTAGTAGAAGGGAAAGCAGGGTGATTTGTGAGGTTCCTAAAATGTGAACAAGTATCTGAATTTTAACCTCAAGCTGTGCCAGTTATGTGTTTTTCTTGTTTTGTTTCAGTGTTTTTAACACATAAAGGTGTTTGGGTCAAAGTTTAAGGCGTTAATGAAAATTCTCTTCCGTAGGAGGAGGAATCTCGCCATAGACCAACAAACAGTCTCCTTGATACCAGCCATCTAGAAACAGACATCTGGTCTACAATGCCTACACTCTCCAATGGGAAATCTGAGTCAAGAAGACCTAAAATAACATTTGATGACATGTATGTAGTATTAAACAGTCCAAACATGTGGACTAAGATTTTATCTAAATGTCTAATAATCCATTTGTGTTAAATATGAGTTATATGCTTGGGGTCTGAATCAACAGTCTTCACACTGGCAAAACAATGGGAGTCGTGCCTGTGACGTAAAGGCAGAATTGGGCCCTTAGCGTCAACATCAATACATGATGGTCCATAGAGTTTTTCTCTTGATAAATGATTTTTCATCATTTATTAAGAGTTTTTTGACAAATGTTTTCAGATTATAAATGATGAATTCCAGGGTAATTCTTCCCTAATTTTTTATTTTAGCTTCTCTAATGGAAACTTGTTAGAGTTAATCGGTTTGAGTTATTCTGCCTTTTCCTCTATTCGGCACGCATTAAATGGCCCCCTTTGGGCTGCTGTTTTCCACAGCTAGCCATTTGTGCTCATCAGTCACATGCTCACTAAGCATATCATTACATTCAGCAGCTTCGTATTAATATCAGAATAAATTTAAACAAATAAGTGGGCATATTTGTCTATTAGAAACGGTCAGCATTCTTCTCAGATAACGTTTGTCCAACAGTATGAAAACGTAGCCCTGAAAGAATGAACTCTGTCTCCTTAGGCTTCACAATGCAGACTATTACATGCAAGAGGCTAAGAAGCTAAAGCACAAAGCGGACGCACTGGTAAGTTTCCATCCATTTTCTGCCTTTTGTTTTCAAGCACTGAAATTGTGTGTTTCTGAAGGGATCATCCAGGGTAAACGTATACAGTGTGGGCTTCATCCAGAGACTACTGATGCCAAAAAGAGTCTTTCTATTGACCTCAGTGGATTTTGGATCAGACTTCATATAAGCCGACCACAGCAAACCCAAGTCTGAACACTGTTCCTAACTCTTAACACAGTGTTCCTAATAAGGTGGCCTACCAGAGCTGTGCAGAGAAAAGAAGTTTTGTTTTCCGAAGGATTTCAAAACTGAAAATTTCAGAATTCTCCGTGAAGGAAAATTCCAAGCGGAAATTAACGTTGGCTCGACTGAATCATTATGATATAACTGTATTATATTACATGATGTATAATGTGATACACATTTTTAAAAAGAAAGTCATCTCAAATGACATGTTTCATTCTGTAAAAGTTGGAAAAAAAAGACATTTTTATAATGGCAAACATTTTTTCTGGTTTTCTCACGAAATCAACCCAATTTGGTGAAGCATTTTGATTTAGATGAAACTGCTCATTTTGATGGGCTATGGCTCCATCAAACTTTATCTGACCAGCTCTGCAGTACGGCCATTCCATTGTAATGGAGATCTTGATCCTGTCTGCTGCAGCTGGTTCCATGCAGCAGCTCCCCTACGCAGCCTTAGTGATATAGAACTCTCTTATTTCTTTAAGTAAGGTCACTATAAAATAAAATTGAGCCTGGCCTCTAAATTTCCCCCCACAAATCATATGCGGGGACAACTAATAGTCTTTGGGTGGCTAATTATCTATTTTAAGGGTGAAAACAATATTTTTCCTGCAAATCAGTTTATTTGACAGCAAAGAATCTATCATTCATGCCTGCAAATGGCTGTGGTTGCAAACAAAAACAAAAAAAAAATGTAGCACCCATTGTTTAGGAATGTTGCAGCTTTGGGGGTATGTGGCAAAGAGAGAAGGGATCAAGCTGCCAATTTCAGCTCCCCGATTCAGGGGCACGAAGCTGTTCAGCGTGTTTCCTGCAGAGCTCAGGCTCCGGTTTTTGGCAACATCCCCTGATTGTCACTAAGCTAGAAGTCAGACCTCCTGACATGCCCATTTACAGAAGGTGGCCCACGCTGATTACTTAAGACTGACTCAGTAGAGCATGTTGAGTCAGAATCCTGACATCTATACGCAGGGAAGGCTCACAGAAGCAGACTGACAACACCTCCTGCAGCTGATTGACCTTTAAGGAAAACACACATCGTTGTGGCATAAACCTGCCTGCTCTATGCTAGCAAATATTTACAGACTTGAGCTCATGATGGTCTCAACATGCTATGTCAATCCGCTTTTCTCCACAGCCTGATTCACTCAAGACAGTGTTGACCTGTCTCCCATCTTCTTACCTTTGACTATGCCTTGCAGAATTAGGGGTGTTCTCAAGCAGAACTAACAGGAAAAGGCATGGCACATCATGTTGTTGCCCGCAGGCAGGCCTTTCATGTCACATGTAGTTTGACACCCCCAGTGCTCTGATCAGAATGCCAGGCCAGCTGCTGTGGTATAAGTTGTTAGCAGCCACAAATGCCCATGAACTGTGTATCTGCCTTTTCTTTCCACTACTTAGATCTTTTTTTATTTTTTCATCAAATGCGGTTGCACACACATATTTCTCCAAGCAACTCATTTACCGTATGGTCCCATGGCTTTAGTTGTCCTATGGAAACAATTGCTTCTGGTTACTTTGGGCTGACACAATGAAGCATGCCACATTGAAAGATGTGGTGTTGTGCCTGGGAAGATAATGTGTGTGACCCCTGCAAGTGTCAGGAAATGTTAACGAGATGTGGAAGCGATGCTGCTGTGCTTGCACAGAGAAGGGACTTCTGGCAAAAGCAAGGGCGCTTGAAATATTCGGAAATGGCCCAATGTAAACCCGTCTTTGGCTGGAAGAGGGGCAAGGGATCCACTCATTTATGATTAGGCACACTGTCATCAGAACAAATGACTACACAGAGCGTACAACATGCCCGAGATAATGGGCCTAACTGTGCTCTCCTTTGCACCATCAATAAACTAGAGAAATGTTATTGACTTCATTGGAATTACCCTGGATTTACACTGCTGTTTGTAAGAGCAGCATTAGGTCCCATGGCTTTATCGCCATTGATTAAGAGGATGCGCCTTTGCTAAGTCAGCTTAAAGCTACAATAATTTTCTGTATTGTACAGAAAACTAGCTTCCAAAAAACACCCAAAACAAAGTTTTGCCTTGGGTAAAACAAGGGAAGTGATTGGTGGAAAAGAGAGAGGAATGAGATGAGGTCTGCATTCCCTTTTGACTGTTTAGAGGGTACTGTAGAATAAGTGTAACCCACTGGTGAAGGTGTTACATGTCCCCCTCTGTGCCAATCCACAGAGGATATGAGTCGTTACAGTCTGCAGCTACAAAGCCTTAAGCTGTAGCAGCTCATTCTGTTAACTCTGGAGATCCCTGGTTCATTCCCCATTGTGTCAGCCAACAGGGCATCTGTCACTTAAGCACACACAAAACAAACTTTTGTTGCCAGGCTGAATTTTGTGCAATTAGAACAATAGGGTAAAAATCTACATGATAGCGCCCCATGAAAATAGAGAGCGTGGAATGTGTCTTGTGAGGAGAGCTACTAAATGGTAGCAGCAGAGTAAAATATGCCTTTATAAAGCTCTACTTTAATCTATTGTTATAAGCAGCTGCCATTTTGTGAATAGAAAACGTGTGCAGGTGCATCAAAAATATTTTGATAGAGACATACAAAGACATTTTTGAAGACTTCAGCTTTATTGATTCTTTTACATTAAATGCCATATTAGTGAAAGTTTTACATCCACCTATCAGAAATTGAACATGTTAAATACTATTATAAAATACTTACTATAAAAGTGTCATATATAATATTCATTACACATAAAAAAGGAATCAGTATGTCTAAGTCAGTTTAATCACAACCATTATCAGGGCTAAAAACCTTTTTGCACTAAAATTCGAGTAAAATAAAATATTTAGCGGTGCTATATTTTTTTTACTTTTTTAACACTATTTCAGGGTGTCATTTGCAAGATAAGTGATGAGATTTTGGAGTGGGAGGAGGGTCAACAATCACAAAGGAATGTCACATTTTCCTGACAAGTGGCATAGATTTGTTACTTACCTCTTGCATACTAACGTTCAAACTTAGTCCCTAGTATATCAAAGGAGCAACATGGATTTTTTTAAAGACTGTACTGAGTCTCACCCGCAGCTGGGATAAATCGGTGTAGCTCCATTGAAGTCAACAGACCTCCACTCTTTTACGCTTGCAGAGGACTTGGCCCTATGTTATCTGTCCAGCTTGGTGAAAACATGACCTGGCTTTAATTCTTTAATGTATGCATTTGTAATGTCAATGTTGCTCTGTATACATTGTGCTCTGTCTAGCTGGAAATAAAAGCTGAAGCATCATCTTGATAGTTTCATCTTCCTATTTCAGTTGGAGAAGTTCGGCAAAGCAGTGAATTATGCTGATGCTGCTCTCTCCTTCATTGAGTGCGGGAATGCTATGGAGCGAGATCCATTAGAAGCTAAATCTCCATACACCATGTACTCAGAGACTGTGGAACTCATCAGGTTAATGTCCTTTCTGTGATCATTTTCATAATCTCATTTCAGTCATAATTAGAACCTGCTCTGTTTTAAAAAATATCATTTCAACATATTAATGATTTGTCCAAGGCATCTTCATCTCAGAAGTCATCATAATTAGTTCTTGCCATTTTATTAATGTCATGGAAAATTTATAATTGATGGACACTGCTTTTATAAATTATCCCCTTTAGAGGTTATAATGTGAGTGTTATAATTTGCAATATTCATAAAATTAAAATTGAAATGTAGTGGGTGGAAGTAAAGTATAGTAATTTCACCGTTTGGCAATGACACTTGTCTTTTAAAAGGTGTAGTTTTATAATTCAAAACATTAAAATGAGTCGATCAAGATTTCTATTCTAAACCCTGTTTTTGCAGAGGTTTATAACTTGGCTGTAAAAAATTGTTCCAGGCTGTAACTTGGTATATAAGGTCGCATCCAGAGAGCAACTTTTGCACGTGTATATCCAGACAAACAGAGAGTGGTTGGTTGGATTTTTTTTAATGTTAAAGGAATATAAAAAGCCACTGAAATTCACTGAGTTAATTTTTTTAAATGTAATTTTTCAGTCCAGAACATAAGAGACTTTGCCTAATATTAAAAGGCCTGAGTTAGTATTTGAAAATCAGCGCCTGTTTTCCATAGCTGCCCTAAAGGGTAGGCTCCATAGAATTTACTCTACGGAGTAACGAATGGGCCAAATTTTGCTCTCTTTACTCCCAGATAATGCCATTGAAATCCATAGGATTAAATTTAATTGTGATTAAAGCAATCAGGATTTTGCCCATTTGCTCTGATTCCCCTCTGGCTCTCATCATTTTTACCCTGGGGTATAACACCGTTAACTCCAGTGGGATTACTCCTAATTTCCACCAGTGGGGGAAAAAAACAGAATCAGGCCAAATGTTTGTTTTGATGGGACTTGTTTATACGAGAGACTCTAATGTGTCAGATTAGTTATTAGAGTCTATCCAAAAAAATGCATGTTTTACATTTTGAATGAGGAGGTATTTACATAATAAAATGTATCAGATCTGAAGAAGCTGTGACTCTCGGGTAAATAATAAGCCTTTTCAATTTTTTAAACTATGTATTTACATACAACACTTGTTAAAAAGAAGAACAATAAAAGATTATGCCACAAAAATGATGTTCACACAACATTTAGGATCGGAGTTAAACCCTGAAGAACAGTGAAATTAAGAATTAAGGCTATACCAGTCTTCCCCCTTCATTCCATTGTGCCTGCATCTTAACTGTGGGTCACTCAATATAGTCTATGTGCTGCAATACATAAGCACAAAACGGTGTGAGAAAGTAAACAGTAGCATTATCTTTTCTTCAAATGGCACGAGAGTGGTATGTCGGGGAGGGGACGTGGCCTAATGGAGAGAGCCCTGGACTGGGACTCAGGAGAGCTGGGTGGCCTTGGGCAAATCTGTTCAGTTGCCCATCTGTAAAATGACGGTAATCTTACTGACTTCCTTTGTAAAGCACTTTGAGATCTAGTGATGAAATGTGCTATGTCGGAAGTATTATAATTGTTGATAAGTAGCCTGCATGTTTTGGAGGAGCGTGAAGCAAAGCTGAGTGGTTCTATCTATCTAGCTTAGGGTTATCTATAGCACGCTTCACCCTAGTGGGTTTGTCCTGTGCATGTTGAAGGCAATGGCAAAGCCCCCATTGACCTTAATAGTGCAGGATCAGAACCTGTGTTCTGTGCAAGTAAATTAGATCTCTGTGCTGATGTCTACAGTTGACGTCATAGACTAGGAATTTTGCTCTTCACCCTTTCCAGATTCTGCCATCCTGACATCTCTCCCATATGAAAGAGGAGACTCTTAGGGCCACTGGTATATGTTGTGTTTATATACATTTTTAAAGCAACACCACCCCTGTGATGATTGGGGTTGATCATGAACCATTTGATGAAATTCTATTTCTGTCACCTGTGCTAGGCGGGAGGTCAGATTAGATGATATAATAGTCCCTTTTGGCCTTCAAATATATGAAGCTATGAATGACAGATGGTTCCACTAGTAAGAAAACTAAACCCCTGCTCATCTGCTCGTGATTCACCAGAACTCTAAGAGATTCACACAATATGATTCTTCACAAAATAAGAGAGTTGGGGGATCCTGGAGCAGTGATCACTGATGATTTAACAGTATAATGTGGGTTTAAGTAAGCCGCATAGGGCCTGATTTTCAAAAATGCATGTGCAAAATTGTGCATGCAGCAGTTGAGCCTAATTTGCACACACACTTACCATAACTGCAAGCATGGTCACTTGCACATGCAAGTACATGCTTTGCAAATGCCACAGTGGGAATGGTGCAAATTAGGTGTGAAAGTGTCTGTGTGCCTTTTTTTAAAAAGTGGCCCTTAATGTAACTTCAACATAGATTTGTACAGTTGGATACTGTGTAGAAGAGATTTATATTACTTTTCCCCATCACGATGCTGTCTACAGGCAGACCCTTGTTCTATCTGTTCCATTCATTTTAACTGCTCTGAGATGTGGGTAGCTACAGTAGTCATTTATTTGCGAAAACAAGTGGAGCATCACGGTGACTCAAAATGTCAGAGATCTGACTCTCAGAGGTGTATAGACTAATTGTAACACTAAAATCCCTAACGTAATGCTGCAAATCCTGAAGAGAAACACATCTCTGTATTTGACCACGTTCATTCAATGTGACTGGAGCAGTAACAAAGAGCATGAAAGACAGAATGCTAAGGAGCTAAAGGGTGCCTTGCTAGAAGAGCATGCGGGGACAGGATGACAGGGGTGGCAGCAGGAGAGCAGTGCAGCCTGCCACTCCATTACCTCCTTGTAAATGAGAACTCATCAAGACTGCCTGGATACCTTAAAACTTTCTTACGCAACACTGAACCCTATTACTTATTCTAACACAAGTACCTGTGAAATTGCATTAAGGCTCAGAACAATGATTTTATGCGATGAATTGATTTTCAAGCGACTAAATGCATGGAATGGAGTGTACTCCGTTAAAGCAACTTTAAAAAAAGGGGAGGGGGGAATGCTCAACCTTTTATCACCCAAATGTTGGACAGCAGCAATTAAATAGAAAGGAAAGACAAAATATACAAGCATCATAAATTAATGGGGCTAGGAACTTAAAAAGCTATGAACATGACCTTTCCTTTATTTAATACCACTTCATATATAAATATTTTAAAGATGTTGCAGAGGCATTTATGAGTGGGATTTGGAAGGTGTTATTCAAACCCCACACTGTTAAATGTAAAACCTAGCTGTATATTATTTTCCTCTTCAGTGCAAACAGGACTGAGACCTTACATTTTTGGCCGGCACTCATTGCAAACTAATACAGTGCTTGTCACCCCAGAGTGCTGGCTGTAATGTTATCTTGGCAGCATTGACACACTCCGAAATAATTCACCTCATTGGCCCAGAAAATGGGCTGATGATTTGCTTTAGTCCTCCAAATTTTAAGTGTTGCTTTCTGTTGAATGTTACACTCATCCCATTACTGTGAAACATTGTGGTCATTATTTATTGTAGTTTTAGAAGCAGATCTAGTTATTTCTCAGAGTGTCACCAATTTTCCTCGAAGCATCTTAATGCCCAATTTCCTCTTCTCCTCCCCTTTCTTACAAGGTATGCAATGAGACTCAAGAATTTCACAGGCTCATCTGCCACGGAAGGAGACAAGAAACTAGCAGTTTTATGGTGAGTCCCATTGCAACAATGTAGCAACAGCTAAAATCCTAGAGGACTTTAAAAGTACTGAATTACTTAAGCAGCTTACACAAGATCATTATTCTTGTTTTCCATTAAACTATTAAAGGATAACGAATGGATTTCTTCAGCAGCTGACTAAACATTTATTTGTCTAATTTATACTGTTCTCAAGATAGGATTTTAATGCTTTTGTGCATTTTTTTTTTAATTTTTCTCCATTTGCTTATGTTTCTCAATCTAACCTTGGAAGAGAGACTGCAAAATATAGATCAGCATTTGTTTTATAGTTTATAGGTTTCATTAAGCAATGGAATTAATACAATCCTTTCCTAAATACCGCAGCTACCGATGCTTATCACTCCTCTACTTGAGAATGTTTAAACTAAAGAAAGACCATGCTATGAAGTACTCCAGATCTCTGATGGAATATTTTAAGGTAATCTTTAGTCTGTTTAATTTATGCTGATACAGAATGACTTTCATCCCAGCACTGAGGGCTCATGCAACTCACACTGCACCACATAAGCCCCACCTTTAACCTCTGCAATGGGAGAGGTGGACACGATGCTTGTGAGGAGGGAATGGAAGTGATCCTGTGTTAAAACCTACAGCCATGCTCTGACCAACTACTGATTCTGGCCTGATTCGGATCTTACTTTCCCCACTTCTGCACTTGACAACTCCCTGCAATTTTAATGGCTTTGTTCCTTGGTCAGCACCTCATCCAAAGCCCTCTGAAGTCATCAGGAGCCCTTCTGTTGACTTTATTGGGCTTAGACCCAACGTTCACTGGCCTAGAATCTTCCATGGAATGTATTCCCACTTACTTCAGACTTATTCCATGTTGAATTTAGGCTACTGTCTCTTGGGGGAAAAACAGCCTGGCTCTGAAGGAAAATGTTGATAGTTTATATTTTACAGTAGACCATTTTTTTTTAAACATTTCTTTCTAAGAAAAGGCTTTGGGCCTGATTCTCTTTTAGAAAAAGGCCGCTTTACCCTGCTCTAGTTGTGTAAAGGGAATTTAAGGTGCATGTAAATATAATTTACTCTCACTTTAAGACCCCTTGACTCTGCCAGAGCAAAGTGGATTTAGAGTAAATAAGAATCGGGCCCATATTTTGAGTAGCAGTTAAAAAATCTCAGAAGTGTTTTTTTAGAGCTTCAGATTGAATGACACAAAAGAGAGACTTCATCTAGTGAAGGTGCTGTGCATTAGTGTAAAATTGGGAAAATGTGCACTAGAAACAGGCTTGAACTGTGTGCGAATTGTATGTTCAGGCTCTCTTTGTATTCAAAGTCTAGGAGACTCACATTTAAGAAAGGAAAATGTTAACAAAATATTATTTTCCTATTGCTAAATGATGCTCTCTGTCTTTTATCTTTGCCACAGAGAAGCCATGGTTCAAAGGTTTTCAACAGGGCAGCTGGGGGAGTGCAAAGCCTTTTATTAAATGGTTTGGGCCTTTAAACAGAGCTGTTGTTCAAATTGAAGTTTTGCACACTTTTCAATGTGGAAGGTGACTCACTAGGTCTTAGGGTGACCAGATAGCGAGTGTGAAAAATTGGGATGGGGTGGGGGGGTAATAGGCACCTATATAAGAAAAAGTCCCGAATATCATGACTGTCCCTATAAAATTGGAACATCTGGTCACCCTACTAGGCCTGCAGTACAGGGACCAGGTCAGGAATTTTTCAACAAAACTTTTTTTCATCAGAAAATACAGATTTATCAAAACCAAAACTGTTTGCAAGACAGGGTCAGTTTAGACAAATTTACTATTTAAAAAAACAAAGAAAAAAATGTTTCAATATTGTCAGAATGTCTCATGTTGATATTTTACAAAAATGTTCCGTTTTTCAGGTCAAAATGACATTTTGAATTGAAATGTAAATTAATTTATGTTTTAAAATGTTTAAAAAACTAAAAAGTCCAAATCAAAATGTCATGTTTTAAAATTAACAGAACGAAACATTGGCCTGATTCAATTGTTTTTTGAGATTTTTTTTTCTTTTTGCTCTGATTTGGGACAAGAACATTTTTCAAAATCTCAAAAACGTTCATGGGTTGCGAAAACTGTTTTCTACTCAGCTCTAACCCACAGCACTCTCCGATGTTCAAATGTCAAAGCTGCTTTTTCATGGTTTGAAGATCTTCCAGATTATTTCAATGATCCCCCTCCTTTGCATGTGTGGACATGCACACCGATATACAGTACACACACCATCTAATCCAAGCCATTCCATTCAGTGTTGACATGTTTAAGGAAATGCAAAGACCACACAAACAAATCAGTGTTTTCTGCTGGATAGTGTTATCTAGTTTGGACAATATTTTCTGAAAGCTATGGTTGAGGAGTGAGGAGAACAAGGTCTTATTCCTGGCTACCACTTACTCTCTTTGTGACCTTGGCCCTCACATGCAAAATGAGTATGAAAGTAATCAAGTGGGTATAATAATAATAATAATTCAAACACTTCACAGAGGTGTTGTAAAGCTTAATTGAATTTTCAGAATGCCTTTTGAAATCTTTGCAGGAAAAGCACTATATTCAGTCACTATATAGAGAGAGACTATATAGAGAGGCAACTTGTTACTCGCCTTAGATAACTAAGGCCCTGATTCAACCACCCTTAATGGGAATTGTTGCTGAATAAGATACTATCCAATCTGAGTAACGCTAGCCAAGTCTGGGCTTTATTATTTGTTTGCTTGTGGTAGCACCCACAATATGCTAGGTACTGTGCCAACACAAAAGAGAGAATGGGTAGGGAAGGTGTGTGTTACACACACTATAAAAGCAAGGGAATTCATTCAGATCCCTACAATCAGACTCTTCCTCCCCTCGTGTTGTATATGTATTGCATCACATTCACCTACAATATATAAGATCCCCTAATTCCAAACATCAAACCCCAAGCTTCCTTTGTCTGATGAAAAGCGTGCAGATCCCCCTGAAGGTGGAAAGCCTTTGAAGAGCTTACTTTGCAGAATAAATTTTAGATAAGGATAATTAAACCACTTCTTTACGAACTGCATCTGATTTTACTGGAGTTTTGGTATATCGAGTCTTTTATCAAGTGACTTTCACACTCCTGATTGGAGCCTACTAATTATCCAACCAGCTATTTTATTATGAGCCTGTAATGTTGGGCTGATATTGTGTATGCACCAGAGCTCTTGCAGCTAAAACAGGAAGTGCCAGGCCTCGTAATCAATATTAATCTGCTTTCAATCTTTCTGGCATCTCCTCCTGAACCAACAGAGAATTATCTCCTGTATTTACCTTTTGGTTTTGTTTCTTCCAGAACTCTTCAAAAGCCTCCCAGGCCCCCTCTCCTTGGGGAGGCAATGGAAAGTGAGTATTGCCACTCAATACTTTGTCATGAAAATACACGGTTAACGGCGGGGGGGGGGACAGGGTTTTGGCTGCGAAAAGCAAAAAAAAAAAAAAAAAAAGCCGCGATCGCAATTGCGATCTGTGGCGACAATTCGGCAGGAGGTCCTTCGCTCCGAGCCGGAGTGAGGGACCGTCCGCCGAATTGCCGCTGAATAGCTGGATGTGCCGCCCCTCTCCGGAGGGGCCGCCCCAAGCACCTGCTTGCCAGGCTGGTGTCTAGAGCCGGCCCTGGGTGGGGAGGAGGAGGGGGATTGTTGTGGTAATCATTCAAAGGTGAAATTCAGCTCTTATATCATACTAAAACTTTACACAATTTGCGGTCACGTTCCAATCACGCAGCAGGACTGAAAAGTTCATATGGGCTGGTACCAAATTCTTTGACAATTTGATCCTTAAGCCAAATGAGGGCCATAAAAATATGTGTTAATTAGATAGCAAGTACCATGTCATTTCAAGAAGCCAAAGTAAAGTTAACCTCCATTGCAGTGATTTTTTTCAATGATTCGCTCAGTAATGAAACACCAATGAATATTTCATTGATATATGGTAAGTGCTGTTTAATAAAAGTGAAGGCGTAATAGTGGTGAAAATGTGAAGGCACTTAGTCAGCCAATTATCTGAATCTTTATATTAATGCTAAAACACCCTCACCTCCAGTATAAAATCACAGGAATGTAATTATGATCTGATGGTCAATGAAGGTATGGTACCATTACTACCTTACTTTAGCACATGATATATATTGTACTCTATGACGCAGATTCCTCTTGTTCCCTGTTCAGGGCTACACATGCAAGTCCAGACAAAATTAGTAGGTTGCACTTGTCCACATTTCATGGACCAAATGCTAGCTGGTACCTGGAGACAAGTATAACACCCCCTAAATGGGCAAACTGGTGTGCTACAGAAGCAGCTCTGATGTGTGGATGTATCCTGGCTAAGGCCAACCAAGAGGGCACTGAGTAAACAGACCCTGAGTGAGCAGATGTAAGGGAACTTCCAGAGCTTCACAGCCATCTGAAATGAGAACAGTTCAGTCTATCTTACAGCTCTTCAGATTGTGAGCTTCTCAGAGCACAGATGATCCTTAAATGCTTGCAAAGCACCTAGCACATAGTAAGCACGACTAAAATAAATAATAATAGTTGTATGGAGAGACAAGGCACCATGACATTATTAACACGCTTATTCCAGAAGGGACTCCACTCCCCAATATGCAGTGTATGGGACAAATTTTGCACCAGCTTCCACCCCGGTAACTCCACTGAGTGCAAACGTATTTGCAGTAATTTAGCCCACTACTTCCATTAGACTTCTCTGGGGGGACATGTAAGGAAACATGAGTGCCACACCACATCTGGTCTCTTTCCAGATGTGCAAATTGTGCAGTGCTAGATGTTACAGCTTTGATGCCGGAGTCACTTGATGAAATTCTCTGGCCAGTATTATGTAGGAGGTCAGATTAGATGATCATGATGGTCTCTTCTGGCTTTAAAAAGCTATGACTCTGTGGTGAAGGAGAAAATTCTTGCCCAGCCTCTGAACGTAATCAGCTGCCGCCCAGAATTTGGCTAGCTATCACTTCCATTTGACACCTAAACTGATCTGACTGTCTTGAAGCTATGAGTGAGTGAGTAAAAGTGAGTGAGTAAAAGTGCATCTGCTGCGCAATGCCGGCTTCCTTCTTTTATTCAAAGATAGACGCTTTTATCACATAATAAGAACTAAATGTGAGGAGGCTGCTGTTAAAATAGTATACATGATCTCACATACTGAAGAAATGCAGAGAGAGACAATACTGCAGCCTACCCATAGCTGGGCCCTATGCCACCTAGAAATTACATCATTGGGTCCTCAGAGCAACAAGCAATATCACATTCCACCCTGTAACAAAGTAATGAGATAGAGTTCACACCTGTTACTGCAAAAACAATGGTTCTGGGGCATGGAGTTAGAAATCACACATATCAGCTGATGCCAGACAAGAAGAGGAACATAGACTGGAAGGTATCTCCTGGGTCATTAGTCCAGTCCTCTGCATATAATCCCATTCTCCTATTCGGAGGCTGTTCCAGAACCTTACTCCTTTGATGGTTAGAATCCTCCTTCTAATTTCCAACCTAAATTTATCTGTGACCAGTTTATACTCAAATGCGTATAATACCTAAGGGGAACAGCTCACAGTTTTGGTCCAAAGGAGGCTTTACAGGCTTTTCTTTTACTTTCAGTTTGGGTGAGTTTGGAGCCCACCTGAGCTTTGATTTGAACAGTCAATTAAGCAAATTTCAGGATTCAAAGCCATGAAAACCTCAGCTTTGTTCCCTGGAAATTCAGGCCACTTTTGCTGAAAGGGTTGTGAACCTCTGCAAAGTTGGCCCAAGTTCCAGGCTGGCAATGAAACAAATTTTCCCTGCTTTCATTACAGAAATTTTCCTCACCTCAGCTGCAATAAGCATGAGGATAGAGAGATCTAATAGACTTGCCACAGTAATAATGGCACTGCACCTTCCCCTGCACGACAGGCTAGATCCAATGAACAAGGCACTTTATTTGGCTGAAGTGCGTCAGCTTGTTTTAAGTGGCTTTAGCGAAATACTCTCAGTCCCTTTGGATACTGTATGATTGCTAACTGCTCCCAGACCTAATCAAGTGTAGTTCAGCTCTTCTGTACATTAAAGATGCTCTTCGGAGTATGTTTGGAGACTCAGAAATAAAACATTCATGCTGCAGGATACCCTTCAATATAACCCCTTGGCTGTGCAAATAGCTACTAACTGCTGATGCCATGTGGGTCTCTTGCTATGGAAGAGCTGTGGAGCTCATCCAGGGGAGCCGTTACCGATGATTCTCCAGTAGGAGGATGTTTTCTTCCCTTTGGGTTAGGAAAAGTGTAGGTGCAGTATAGGTCACACCGTACTCAACTCTTCTGTCCAGTCTGTTGGGGCAAATTGTTCCTCTAGTCCAGGAGCAACCTGGCAGCAGCCAGTATGTGCGAGATGTGGGGTGTTCTTCACATATTCTCGCCCCCATGCATAAGTAGGGCCTGATCCAGCACCTATAAAAGTCAATAGGAGGCTTTCCATAGAATATTGTGGGTGATGGCGCAGGTGGAACAGAAGCCGTGCGGTCTGTCAGCTGCTCCACAGCTGGAGCAGTGATAGCTGCCTGACAGGGAAAGGAGCATGGAATCCCCCCTCGGCAACATTTGGCCCCTTTCTTCCATGCCGAGGGGCCCAGAAGCAATTCAGCCTGTATTTAAAGTGTTTTTATGGCAATCCAATGCATTTGTTTAGTTCCAAATGGGGGGGGGGAGATTTTTGGAACCCTTAATCTTGTTCAAAAAGACCAATTTTCAAAGAGCACAGCTGTGCGTGAGCATTCAGTGCTGTAAAGTCCTAAACATGTGAGATTGCAGTGGATGACCTCCATGCTGCCTGCAGCCAGCAGGTGATTCCTAATTGCTGGTGTTAGAATTAAAAGAAAATCTATATGAGAACATTAGTGCTGCACTAAGTAGGTAACTTAAAACACTGCTCTTTATAAAACAGTGTGCAGATGAACGGCTGGCAATTAGAAACAAATCTTCATAGCAAGCCTTAAAGAACCCTATAGAGATATTCATAATTGTACAGTACCCTGAGCGCCTAATACTGCTCCGCGGGGCGCTTTTAAGAATTGCACTTTGCTTATTGTGGTGACTGTATTTGTAGCAAACTGTCATTGCAGTTTCCACAAAATTCTTTGATAATAATAAGCCAATATTACACATTGAGTGTTTTCTAACTGCCAATAGCAGCTTCTGGCAGCAGGTAGAAAAATCATTACAGTTATGAGATACTTCTTTCTCTGAAAGATTGCTATATTTGTCAGAGGTGGTTTTTTTTTTAAATAACAGGTTCATTTGTGGGGGGAATTAAAGCCCTTTTTTAATTTCAATCAGTCCCAGTTTATACATCTCTCCTCTCTTGTAAAGCAGGAGATCACCACTGCCCATCTCCTCTGGACTGGGTCTAGATTTGATGTTAAGGTTCCAAGTCTGCTGGGGAGAGAAATGAAGCAGGGTGACCAGATGTCCCAATTTTATAGGGACAGTCCCAATGTTTGGAGCTTTGTCTTATATAGATGCCCAATACCTCCCACCCCGTCCCGATTTTTCACACTTGCTATCTGGTCACCCTGAAATGAAGTGATGTGGGCGTGAGAATAATTCTCCTTTCTTTTCTCCAGGAGCACAGAGACTCCATCCCCCATGTCTCTCAGTCCATCTCCAGTCAGTTCTGTAGGGAGCAGTACAGGCACTGCTGGGTCCTCGTCAGCAGGAACCATCACCATCCCCCAGCGCATCCACCATATGGCTGCCAGCCATGTAAATATCACCAACAACGTCTTGCGGAGCTACGAGCACTGGGACATGGCCGACAAACTGACTAAGGAGAACAAAGGTGGCTTGTTCAGTTTCTTCCTTTTGCTATCTGAAATGCAATTATTATTTGAGTTATCATTGGGGATTGAACCCAGGGTCTCCTGAGCTCAGAGTATAAGCCTCTACAGTTTGAGCAAACGGACCAAGTCCCCTTGCTGGGGATAGTAGCCAACTCATATCATCTGTGTATCAAGCACAGCAGGGGGGTCGTGTAACACACACTGAACAGTGGGTTATAAGAGCAGCTGGCAAATAACTGAACAAAGATTGTGCCCCGAGTGATGCCTGCTTCTGAGTCGGTGAATATGTTCCCCCTTTCAGCCTCTCACAGAGTACTCAGGCTCTTTTCCTATTGCTGTCGTCATCCAGTAAAGATTACTCAAATGTTAGCTAGGGTAATAAGTGAACATTAGATGTTCTATTTGTTCAATTGTGAGCCTGATTATGACACATTCGCTGGAAACCATGACCTTGACTTTCCTAAGATCAGTCTGCGATTCAGTTAATTTATTCAGATCAAGCATAAGTCTTTACCATGGTTGGCTCAGAGCAGTGCTGGCAAGCAGTTCGTGGCTGGTTTACAATGACTTCAATGAAGTTGGAGGGGGGTGTAATTAAAGGTTAAATTTGGCTCACTAGGGACAAGCCATAGACGGCCAGCACATCCCTCGGCCCGCGCCGCTTCCCGCAGCCCCCATTGGCCTGGAGCGGTGAACCGCGGCCAGTGGGAGCTGCGATCGGCTGAACCTGCGGACGCAGCTGGTAAACAAACCGGCCTGGCCCGCCAGGGGGCTTACCCTGGCAGGCCGCGTGCCAAAGGTTGCCAATCCCTGCCATAGACCATCATTCAGGTTGAAATAAATGGCAAAGTTCCCATGGACTTCATTAGTGCAGGAACAGGACCTAACTGGACAATGTTCTGCTCATGATTTGCTCATCTCGTTAGATCAGAATAAAATCTTATATAGGTGCCTGCAGCTCGACGTTGCTCCCATTAAAGTCAATGGCAAATTTCCACTGACATTAGTGGGAGCAGGGTCGGGTCTTGTAGTGTTCTACCTTGGAATGATAACTAGAACCAGGGACAATACTAACGTACATGTCAAGGCCTCCCCACCATTTCCGGTGTTAATATACATTAGTAAATTTGCTAGCAGTGCAATCATTTGGGATTTTTTTCTGTAGTTGCATCCATTTTCAAAACATGCTGAAGTAATTCCTTTTCAAATGTGCTGCAGAATTTTATCAGTGGCAATGCAGAAGGGTGTTCAGATAGGAGAATGAGATGACAATAATCGTGTAATTAGCTCTGTGTGTTGTGGAGTTGTTAAATGTTCTGCTGGATATTGAATCAAAATAGCTCGGGCATTCAGCCAGCAGACAGAAAATGTACCCAGCAAATGTTGTTATCAATCCCGGAGCTGGATGGGGAAGAAGCTGCTGAATCTCATTCTGCATCTTTATGCCCCTCTCTCTTCTTTGTTCTCATTTTGATTTATGTTCAAATGAGCCTGGTCCTACAAATGCCTTATGAGAGTAATCCCTATTCACATGAGTAGACCCATTGACTTTAGTGGGACTAGTTGCATCAGTAAGGGTTTCTCACATGAGCAAGATTTAGAGGATTGAGCCCCTAGTCTTAAATTTCTTTCCTTTTCTTTCCTTTTTTCACAGTCTGCAGTGGACACAAAGCTTGTGTTGCTATTTAATTTCATTTTGATATTCGAAGCCATTGAAGGGAAAAATGAAGTTTACAGCACTTCATATTGTGTCCTCTTTTGCATTCTGGGCAGAGAGACACATTTTCTAGTTAAATATTAGCTTAAAATGCATATTTGAACACTGTTATACTATAATTTGAAAAATTGGGTAGAAATAAAAGATAAATGTTAATATACGTTTTTCTACTATAGCCACTTTGTTGAAATCTACAGGTTTTCAATATATTGCATGACAAAATGTCTTTGATGGGCAAATAATTAAAATATTTCAACATGAGAAATAACAGTTTCATGAAAACTAGCTTCAATAATAATAGTTATTAGTGGTTTTCATTTGTAGATCTCAAAGCTTTGTGCAAAAGTCATTGTTAGAGCTGATCAAAGCATGTTTTGTTGGTTGGTTGGTTGATCGTTTTGTTTTCCCTGCAGAAAATTTCAATTTTTTGGTGAACAGTCAAAATCTGAAATATTTCCAGTTGGAAATGCCCCCACTGTGCATCATGGGAGTTGTAGTTCAGGTGTCTCATATTTCCATTCTCCTCTGTGGGACAGGCTCCCTAAATGGACTACATCTTCCCCTTTTCAGTGTAGACGTACCCTTACTTGAGTATTATGGAATCAGGGCTGTTTTAATACACATTGCATCATTTTTCCCTCAAGGAGAAACCTATCACATCTATAGCTATTTAGGTCTGTTTGATCCAGTAAGTTTCAGTCTAATGTCCTTTCATATAGGTTTAATTAGTTGCTTCGGCTTGTAGCATGCTAGATAAGTGTTTTCGGATGGGAAACTGAAATTAGACTTTAAAAAAAGTTTGGACATTTAAAGAAATTATTATTTATTTGAACATACAATCGTGCAGATCACTGGAAGGTTGGCAAGACTCTGGATTTTTTCACTCCTAATTCTGTTGATTTCACTTGGTGGGGAAAAGACACAGGAAGGAAGATTAAAGTACCTGCTAGTTGCCATTTCTTTACATACCTGGTGATATCCCTAAGCTTTTTTATGTGTACCTCCAGCCATACTGCTTTGTTCTGGGATACAGTCGTATCTAACCAGGTGATCAGGTTGTTTGCAGTGTTGTTGTAGCCATGGCGATCTCAGGATATGAGACAGACATGGTAGATAAGGTAATATCTTTTATTGGATCAACTTCTGTTGGTGGAAGGGACAAACTTTCGAGATTCACAGAGCTCTTGTTCAGGTCTGGGGAAGAGCGAAATACAAGCTGGGACACATTGTTAAGCATAAGGCGTTAACACATGTTGTGGGAAATCACTTCAAATGAAGTGGGCAATTGAGAATTAGATTGTTAAGCATAAGGGGGTCACACATGCTGTAGGACAGTGGTTCTCACAGTCGGTCCGCCGCTTGTTCAGGGAAAGCCCCTGGCTGGCCGGGCCAGTTTGTTTACCTGCCACGTCCGCAGGTTCAGCCGATCGCAGCTCCCACTGGCCGTGGTTCGCTGCTCCAGGCCAGTGGGGGCTGCGGGAAGGGTGGCCAGCACATCCCTCGGCCCACGCCACTTCCCGCAGCCCCCATTAGCCTGAGATATCGTATCAAGAATCACTCATGTATGCCAGGTCTGCAGGCAACTGAGCTTCTGAGAACTCACTAGTTGCTTCATAACCCCTGAGCGTGAAATAATCTTTAATTAATGTATTTCTGCACAGTTACCTGAAACAATGACTCCATTTCCTGTGTTACAGAGTTCTTTGTAGACCTGGACTCAGTCATGGGACCATTAACACAACACAGCAGTATGACCAGTCTGGTCCGTTACGTTCGACAAGGACTTCACTGGCTCCGCATGGAGGCGCATTTGTTGTAGTGACTGCTGTCCTCTTCATAACATCCCCGTCGGCCTACCTCTACCAGCGCACAGACGATCACTGGTGGAACTCCGCTCATTTCTGGAACTTGATTCATGTAACTTCATTTTTATTGCCTTTTTTGATATCTTATCTATTGGAAGTAGAAGTCACCATAAATGGAACTTATGACTCAAGAGCAGTATGTGTTGTACCATCTAATCATTTTTGACAATTTCTATGCCTTGCGTCTCCTGGATCCTGCTATCCTTATGTGCTTTATGGAACGGTACATTCCCTGCAGTATTGTTTTAAGTCGACACTGCCTTCAAGTGAAAATAAAAAAAGCACTTTGAGAAGATATGGATTCCTGAGAAATAGTACAAAACGTCTTAAATATATGAGGGTATATACGAAAATTCTCTTCTGAAATAAATTAGCAGAAGTTATAGCCATTCACTCAGAATTGTCCTCTGAACCCAAGCCAAGCTGTTCACTGCTTAGTTCTGGCATCGTTACCTGCAACTGTTTATTGCTAAGATTTCCTACTTTATATAGGCCTGATCTCTAAAAAAGGACTCTGGACATCTTATAGGTATGTAGCGTAAAATCACCAAAGGTGTTAAGAGATAAAAGATTGGGAGGAATGATTAAAGAAAGATGCCACACTACGCAATGAGGTTTTGATATTCTTTTCTGTTTATTGTTGGCTTAACAGTTTAAGTGGGCAGAACAAGGCAGTTCATTAGGCAATTTCAAAATGTTAGCTTTCATAGTCTTAGCTACCATTCATGTACTCAATCGGTGAATTTTCTTTCAGTCCTACTGTTTGGTCTCAAGCAAATATTCCTCCATGATTTTTCTTGGCAAAACATTCTCCTCTTGCATAGCGACTCAGTGACAGCATGTCTTAACAGGAGTGCTACATTATAAACATTGATATTGTATGTGAAAGTATGGATTCTTGATGAAATTCGCTAGTAATTTAACTGCCTGCTGCTGAGGCACTTCTAACGCCCTGTGGCATTAATTTACACCTGTTTTGTTGATTTCAAAGCTTTAGAAGCAGACAGTATTATCTTACTTTCTTGAAAACAATGAAAAATTAAAGGAAATCACTAGATTTACCCAAAAGCAACATATTTGCTTCATAATGGCCATGAATACTTCAGTCTCCCAATTCTCCAAATTACCCATTTTCCAAGTTCCATTTTTATTTAACCACGCTGTCCTATTTTGACCATTCCTTTAACGCATGCATAATCATGAGACAATTCAGAGAAAATTTCAAAGCAATCTTGAATAAATGAGACCATTTCATTCACTCATTCTTTTTCTTCTAAGCTGCGCTGCTCTTGTGGCAGCCCTGCAGGAAGCAATGGTGCATGAAACAAAACAAAATGAATTTATATCGGTAATTCACAAGACTTTAAATGGCCTCATATCATTCCTGATGTAATGCCGGCACACCTTATCAAACTGTAAATTTCATTTATATAAACAAAAAAAAACCCTCCCGGCAATGTAAATATCATTCTGTGTCACATCTCACTGAAATAACACGACAGGTGTATTAAGTATCATCCAGACATTATTTAATTGTAATTGCCTTTTGATATATAAGCCTGTATAGCCTTTAATCGGGCAAGATATTAGATTCTACTCACTGGATTGTGACCAGGACAAATTTGCATTTAAAAGGTTCAGACTGCTAGGTTTTTAAAACAGGCCTTGCACATTTCCAATAGGGATTGTGCCCAATCCATATTTTAAGATAAACTTCTCTTTTTAAACAATTGTGTATTAGCTCCTATTAATAAATACCTTTAAAAATTCTATAAGTTCCACAGCAAGGTCTTGTAAATGTAGCCAGGGTGGGAAGTATTTCATTAGATAAATCATGCTGATAGGGTAGTCTATAAAGGACAGAACATACATATCCTGGATTATTTTCACATTCCTGTTACTACAGTAAACGTGCCCTTATCTGTTCTTTGAGAGGTTCATTAACATGGCTGAAACATGAATCCAAAAGAACTTATCATGCTGATTCTGGTCTCTTTCTCTAATGAATAAAACCAGGATAGCAAGAACCCTCCATAAACATAAAAAGAGGGTGATTTTTCAAACATGCACCTTTTTTTTAACAGATGAGCGTAAGTGTTTCTGATAACTGAAGTATTGATAAGTTGGTTGTGACCTAAGTTTTCCATTCTCTTTGTAAGGCCTCTCTTATTGGATTGACTAACTATTCCGCCTGATTAAGAACATTGTTATCCCTTATTATTTTAACGTAGACTGAAATCCTAGCCTGCCATGGATTTACGAAGGATATATATACGTCTTGAAATACAATCTTCAGAGACATGACTGTTCAAAGAGTCAGCTACCCTCCCCGAGTCAGGGTATTATCTTTCCCTTGTTGCTTGTAGTAAACAGACGCCTATCTCAAAATTTAACATACATTCACATCTCCTTTACCTAGACAGCTTAGAGAATTAGCCCACCTGATTTTGCCTCCTGTGACTTCGTTTGAAATGTATGTTGAATCAATGGTACGATTATAATAAGTCCAGCAGTCAAGCCTAGGATCACAAGCCAACATACTATTTAGCGGTCTTGTTTCAAAAGCAGCTTAGAAACAAATTAAATATGGAGAGTGAATTACCTTCTTATCCCTGGGGATGATGCTTCTTTTTGGGTTAGTTATTACGGATTATTGCACTTTTATAGGCACTATATTCATCACCTTTCAAATGGCAACATGGCATCTTCATGGAGTAATTTTACGCTTGAAATTATTATTTTACGTAGATTTCATTGAATGGAATTGTTTGCTTGTTTTGAAGGGGAAGCATTTTGATGTATGAGGAGGTATCTGCTTGGGCTTTTTCTCTGTCACCCTGTCAGAAATGCCAACCTCAGGCATTCAAAGATCATGTGTGAGGCCCCCAAAATTATGAGGCTGTCTTCAAAATCATGAGGTTTTTTTCACAGCATATTTTGTGTTCCTTTTATTTGTCTTATCATTGCTGAGTCTTTAAGCAACACTCAAGTCATGTTTTCAAGCTTTCCTCCATAACCATGAAAACTAGAAATATCCTTTTTTTTTTAATGAAAACTGGGATGCTCATGCAATTTCCTGATACCTGCAGCTGGGTTTTCAGAAAGACACCAAATATTGCAAGACTCATGATAACATTGCAAGAGGTGGCCTGTTAAATGATGTGTAGCTCAGTATGCGTAGCACTATGATAAAGGGAACACACACGCTAAGGACTAACGTCTAAAATATTGGGGATACATCAGCGCAAAATGACAGTGCAGCAAAGTCCAAAGTGCTTGAGCAAGGTTCTTACACCTTGTTGTGGGCTTCATTGGTCTTAAATAGTGTGTATGGCCTTGTACCTACTCTGAGAACAGTATGTTTCTCCAGCCACATGATGTTCAATAAGGAACTGAGGTCCATAGTAGTAGATGTTCTTGAGAGGAAAGCTTAGGAGAGCTACCATATGCCTCATATGGTCCCATCAGTTGCTAGCCTGAAATATAGGGCTAGCTTTTTCTAGGGCACTTCTCACTCAAGAAAACTTCCTTTGCAAGTAGGGAAACTATGGACCTGATTACAAATTGCAGGATTTGGTCCACTGTTCATACTTTTTTAGCTTTGCTTATTTAAATTTTTTTTTAAAAAGTTAATCTGGATTTTTATTTTTTTCTAGTTGAGCTTGTCATTTTGTTGCTAGCATTTGGTGGCATCCTTCCAGGCATGTTTCTCAGAGTTGAATTTTGCCCTCTTCTTGTTGTTGCATGGCCTTTGGACTCTTGATCACTTAATAAGCTCAGTGTGTAAATACTGATTGTTTTATTTATAGATGACCTCATTGGAAAGATAGGGGAGGTCTGTTGTCTTTAAAAAGACTCAAGGTCAAGGGCTTTGGTTCCTTCTTATGAAACAAAATGATCGGCATCCTAGTTTAGTACATAAAATGCTAACTCTGAACCTTTAGCTAGAATTAATTTCTGGGATGCTTCTAAATTATTCTTCCCTAAAAACTTTTTGACCAACTTTTAGCTACTTTGATGGAAATATTTTTGGCATGTTGTTTTTGTGGGTATTTAATTCTATTTTTTTAAACAAATTATTATTTCAGGGAAAGAAAGCTTAAAAGGCTGAAAGGCTCAGTTGCAACAATGGGACCTTTAATAAATGTTTGGAGATGTAAGAAAAGTTCGGTTACAAGGAAGTGAGCAGTGAGCTTCCTGGATGACGCATTACTTTTATGTGGTAGTGGGGATATTAATGTGTCCCTCTGTAGAAAAGGGCCCTTACTCCCAGTCAGATAATGTGCACCATTCTCTTGTCCCAAGCAAACTGAAGTACAGTAGAAAGCAACGGCATCTGCATGGGCTTGATCCTGCACTCATTGAAATCAATGGCAAAGCTCCCATTGACTTTCATCATGCAGGATCAGGTCTTATATGCATATTCCATCAACATACCATAGGGAGTATTTGCTGTGCTTGCTCAGACCATCAGGCCATCCAGTATCCTTCCTCGAGCAGTGACCAGGGCCTGACATGTCTGAGGAAGGCAAAAAAAGTCTCAATACACCCATAATACTGCACATTAAACATATTGTGTGCGTATCATCTAGCTGTACAGACCCCACCCACTGAGGTGCTGTTCTAGAACATGAAAGGGCCTTTGAATTGCTAGAAAGTCTGCCTAATATTATTGTATTTCGGTGGGCATTTTGGAGAAGGAAAGATTGCAAGAAAATTTTAAAAATAAGGGCCACTCCACCATCCTTATGCTCCTTGCACCATTTGCACGTTTTACTTTATGTAGCATTTAATGGTCAAATGTGTGCCCTCTAGAGGTGATTTTTATAAAGGCAAATAAATAAGATAAATCATGTGAGTACTGGAAGGGGTCCATTTCTTGACCTCCTACACTTCCATAACAGAAAACCTGGTTTTGTCCAGTTTTTGTACAGTGTCTAGCACAATTGGAGTCCTGGTCCTTGACTGAGGTTCCTAGGCACTATGATAATACAAATAATAAATAAGAAGACCCATAGACACAAAAACATATCCAGGCATTTTGTATTGTCTAATAATATATAGGCTAAGTGCTCAGAGCAACCAATGTTTTCCCCTGGTTAAAGTTCAGTTATGGTCATGTTTCTGGGGTCTGTTACACAGCCTGTCTCCAAGTTTTACTCTCGACAGCTTTATTTAGCTAGCACTTTTCAAAGCGGTTTGATTTATTTGGGGGGAGGTCTTCAGATAACAACATGCCTGATTCTCATCTCGCACCAGTTTAAATCCACTGAAGTCAAAGGGCCTGATTTGGCTCTCACGCAGCATGTAGACCAATGTGACTCAGCAGGTTTACACGGGCAGAAATGAGTGCCGTTTCAAACAAAAGGAGTTACGCACTAAACCTGGTTCTAGATGAGAACCTTACTGTGTCAGAAGATACTTTATGAGAAATACCATGAAGACGACTTGTCCTTGGAATCAGAGGGTACATAGAAATATGTATGGCAGCTCTGTTATATGTTCCTCATGGTAGCAATGTGAAGCACTGTTTAATGAAATTGGAAACCTACTGAAGAAGGGGTGACTTCATGAGTGTGACTTTCTGAATTTGACCTGTTTGTACGTCTTTGAAAAGGGGATTTATTATTATTGCTATGCCTGATGAAACATGTTGGCTGTGATATTATGTCATGAGAAGGCCTTGTGCACCACAAGCTGGTCTGATGAATTAACCCTCCTTACTGTGTGGCTCCGTGACACAGTGCACTAACACTGTCATTACAGTCACTTTCTTGTAGCAAGGTCATTTTTTCCCCCACAGAACTTCACCAAGGACTGAGTCCAGGGACCCAGAAACCAGCCCACATAACAGTCTG